TTGAGGGTCAAAAGCTGAAAGGTTTGGGAACCACTGCCCTACTAAAAACACTTCTCTGAGTGCTTTTGTGTAGTCCCATGAGTCAAAATAGGCACGTTAAATGACGTCTCTATCCTGACCTGAGGTGTGCGCATAATAAAAACTAATTAAACAAATTAAATTGCACACCCCTAAGTTCGACTCATTTTGCACACCCCCTTGGATCATGAGTCTGTCATGACTGTTTTTTTTCTTGCAATTTCGTATTTTTCTGCTCTTTTATTTTCATTTTTATCTAATTTCATCTTGATAGTCTGGTACAGTAAATATTATTCTTATTTTTATTTTGATCTATGTTTATTTTTATTGTTACTATTTTTAATTCTGTTATTGCTACAGGTAATGTCACACAGCAATATACAGTTTCTGTGGATTGTTGTATCTATCTGCTGCTGCTACTACACCTGAATTTCTCCGCACGGGACTAATCTATTCTATTCTATTCTATTCTATTCTATTCTATTCTATTCTATTCTATTCTATTCTATTCTATTCTAAATAAAATAACAACTTTTAAGAAAATGCATGAATTACTTAAAAACTGCCCGTACTTTAAAGTTGTGTATTTTAAGATTGGAAGGTGTTTGTGGCTTCTGAGCATGGTGTGAGTGACATGGCACCCAGAGATGACCTCAACCACAGAGACTTTTTTTTTTTGGGTTACTACAGAAATGAAGGGAAGTGAGTTTGAGCTTAAACCTGTTTGTAGCCGAGTGTTACTCAAATCAGAATGGCTTACTTTGGCAATTACTGCTTTACCCTCGCACACAAGTGGATGCACGCGCACTCACTTTGCTTCTTTTTGTCGTTCATTTCTGTTTGTCTTGGATCAAATGCCAAGTACCAGATCCATTTGTCAAACAAACTTCTGGCGAACGTTGCCACTCAGGCCTGCAGATTGTTAATTTATCTGAACACACAGTCGTCCATTAGTCCCAGATCTGCTTTCACCTCCTCTTTTTCACTCTCGTCCGTTCATCTCTCTCATCCTCCTCCCTCATCTCCTGTTTCTTTCCTTCTCTTTGTCCGACTTGTCCTTTCTTGTTGTCTTCGTTTTCATATGTCTTGCTCTGTCATCACTTGTCCTCGCCACTCCACTCATCTTCACTTCTTTGTTGGTGAAATGATGGAAGGATCGAGGGATTGACCTTTCACTGTGGGTCAGATTCACCTGGTCCCACCACACCTCATTCATGCATTTACTTGCTTTTTATCTGCTCTTAAGGCGCAATTTGAAATGAAAAGCTCAAAGGAGTCGCGCCTCATTTTAAAACTGATCTTCATTTCAGTCAAAGTTTTCAATTTCTCTCTGTTTCTCAATTTTTTATTATGTTTTTTATAAAATTATCAAAACTTTTTTAAGGAAGTGTATGCACACAGACTTTAGAGCTAAGATATTTCCAAGATTCATAAAAACTTTTTTTTAACTAAAAAAAGCATCACTTATCTGTATATCTTAAAATCCATATGAATAATATTAATATGAAAACATTTTTTTGTTGCTTCTTGAATACAAGTAGATTGCAAAGTCAGTGCACAGTGTAAAGTTAAAAGTGCATGGTCATAAAAGTCAAATAATTGTGTAACACTTTTTAAATTATGCTTGGTGCTTTATCTTGAATTCTAGCTGGCAACACCAAACTCTCGACACATACAACTTAATTCTTAAGTACAAATTGTTAGCAGAAAATTAATCCCAATGCAGTGTTGAATTTTCGGGTCCAGAGACTGCACTTTATTATAAGACACTGCTCTGATGAAGCTGTTTAAGGTGAATTCAGTGTAACATAAACAGAAGTAAATCAGCCACCAGAGCTGGCAGTGACAGTAATGAAGGAGCTGTGAGCTTGATGCTCATAAATCTGTTTATACAGACCGTGTAGTCAACACATTGAGGTTTTCAGAGTAAATAGATGTGTTGTAGAGAAAGTAACATAGACTATGAATGAACCAATTGATAATTGATAATTT